GGGGAAAATGAAGGTAAAATTATCTCTGGACCGCGAATATTTTCGCATATCAGAATATAATTTGCTCAACCTAGCCGGCGAACCTTGTTGTCAAATTTTATTCTCAGTAGCCCTAATCACCTACCTGTAACAACGGACATGTTTCAAGTAGAACAGGTAGTGGACTACAGACCACCCTTCTCTGAACGTCTTTATGTACAGACGACGAAATGTCTTATCGAACGGTCAATTTTGACGTTAGGGCGGCAACAGTAGTTTATTTAATGCACCTCATATACCTCTATTTCCAGGATTTTATCCTACGGAACTGGTGGTTATAGGGTTTTACGATGGAAATTAGAATAGGTAGTGGAATATACTTTAATAACTGCACTTTTATTTTACTGTATTTAGAAATGCTGTTGATTTATATCAATAGATTTGCCGAATTTTTACTATCGTTTAACGTATTGCAGAAAAACCTGCTTATCAAAAGGCAGGTTTCTTGAAATTCCTGAAAAGATAGAAATAGTGGTTAGGGGGTCGTCTACTTCAATTTACCTGAGGTCCAACTTACCGTCCTGGAGTAAGATTAGTACAGACCACGGCGCGGAGCGCCGCGCACGCCATCAATTTAAATGCCCCCTATTCCCACCTCTCACGCGTACGAAATAACGAACGCAATTGACCACATGTTTTAACTTGTACCCCTTTCTCCTATCAGTGTACTGGCTCGACGAGAATTTATCGAAAGCACATGGAAGCACGAATTTCGGATATGTAAAGGCACAAATTACTGATGTGTCTGCAGATCTGCGCTTTTTGCGCTGTTTACATGAAATCAGTGCCGAACCTGATAACTCCCGTCTCAACGACTTACTCCTCCATGTCCGCTCAGTACTCTGATCCTTTAAACTTACCACAGTAACATGTTTCGTCCCCCCTACAGAACCTATCCCCGACGTGCAGCTCTCACCGGAGGACACCGTGTCTTCGAATAGTTCACAGAATCCAGTACCACCGATGTTTGTGGTTCAGCTGGATCGCCACACATCTGCGCTGACAGTAAGCGCGCCAAAGTGTGTCCCAGCTGCAGGCGCTCGTCTGCAAACGGCACAAGCGTCCGGCGAGAGCATTCTTCCCGGCTCGATCACCTCCGAGACTTCATCCGTCAGCTCTTTCGCCAGTCTCTGCGAGAAAACTTTTGGCGCTGGCGCCGACGACAATCAGAAGCCAGCTCCTGTAAAATCAGCAACCGACACGTCTTTTACTGCGGCTGCATACCGTTCACCTGCTGCCTTTGCAGAATTCCGCTCAGTCTTCACCGCCGAACTGGCACATATGGCCTACATTCCATTCTGTCGTCTCGCAGGTAGTATTCAACCCCAATTTTACTTCGAACAATGTTTTCTACTGATATGTTTTTAGTAGAGCTTTTTATGCACACTACATTGACACCGTATACCACTGACTGTGCGCTTGTCATTGACTTTGCACCCGATACACACCAAGTCATCTCTCGTACTTTTTTGTGTAGCAAACTTCCTGTCTTCTCCAAGTTGAAGTCTGCTTTCCCATTCAGCTAACCAACTCAGGCTGAGTCACTCGGCCGGCGATTATTCATATTTAATATATGTGCTTTGCCGATCTAGTGGAGAAACAGTTAAGTTCCGCTTTGCCTAGGAGCTCACAATTATTGCCCGCGCAGGCAGTCATATAGTGACTATGATGATGAAATGGATCCGACCAAGCAAAGGGAGACCGAAATGGCCATTTCTGGTTTGTTAGCCGTCATCAGCCAGTCATGCCTAATCTCAAGGGTTGGAACCCCGAGATTCGAACCCGGGACATTTGGTCATTGAGTTTAACGCTCTATTCATCATATTCCCGAGCTCAATCGACAAAGCAACGAGCCCGTGGTGCCGTGGTATTCATATTGTTCACTATCAAACATGCCAATGCCGATTACTCCGGAGTTGTAGTCTTATGTTCTGTCAATCAACTAATTT